TGAATGAATGAATTTTTAATAGTGCTAAAAGATCAAGACAGTGGATTTAAAAGACAAACATGAATATGACTGAAATCACTTTTTTTTCTACTGAAAAGACTCCGAGCTCCATACACAGAACTCCAGAGCTCATTCCAATTCTCTCTGGGTATGGAGTATTTTAAATTTTTCCTTTTCCTGTTAGAAAAAGGGGATTATCAGTGATCTGTGTGCCATGTTGGTATCTTCGGGCTATGGAGATGCAAGTGGGCCAGAGCAGGTTCTGATTTGTGCTGCCTTGTGTTCATCCTCTACAGCTCATCCTAGCAGCAGATAGCCAGAGTGCAAAAGCTAGCCAAGCCAGGGCTGGAAATGGGAATGTCAGAAGATGGGCTCTATGCTTCTGGAAGATCTTTCAGTCAGAGCAGCTCTGCACTGACAGGTCCGTCCGCGTTGCAGCTCTCGGGTGTCAGGAGGGAGACAAGACAGAAAACCACACAAATGCAGAACTAAGATTTCTGCATTTTGTATTCTTCTCTCTGCTGACTGACAAATGCTCCGTGATTTCTCCTGCAGGCACTCAGGGGCAGATGTCTGGAAGTTTGTATTGAATGGTCTGGCAGCCCCTCAGTTTGAGGTTAAGCGTGCACAAAACAGGATTGTTTCTTCCTTCCTGCAAGTCGTTGCTTGCCCTGTTGGCAGGGCACGGCAGAAAGCTAAGACATGCTCTTGCTGCTCCCTCTCTTCTTTCTGGAGAGCAGAACTTAAGAATCTGCCGGTTTGGGGAGAAAAAAATACTATCTAAAGCACTGTCCTCTAAATTATTGGAGTTTCGTAACCAAGTCAACTGGCTGGTGTTGAAATTTCGGACACAGTTTTCAGGAAGGTGTTATGTAGCTCCTTTAGGATCACTGATTTAATGACTAAAATACATTTCTGACAATCTATTATAAAATATATTTTAAAAAGCTCAAACCTTAACTGTAGGATTTATTTTATAAGAATTTTCCAGGCAAAAATCTCCATGTACATAGCTGTTGTTATTTTTGTTAAGCCACAGAATTTAATATTACATTCTTAGTTAATACACTAGAAAAAATATTTACTTGGAGACATGATTCATTCTGACTAATGGGATCTAGCTAATTCAGACCCAAGTTGAATAAAGAAATACATTTAAAACTATTTGGGGTTTGGGTTTGGTTTGGATTTTTTTAAAAGAATGGTAGAATGGCCTGTGTGAAATTAAGGGCAGATGGAAATTAAGATAGGGCAGAAGTGAATCTGATCTAGGCTGCCCCATCTGGCTAGCACTGGTCTCACTAGCCAGTGGCTAGTTTGCGGTAGGTCATAACCGGGAAGGTTATGAAGGGAAGGTTTGCGGTAGGTCATAACCGGCTTACAGTTTGAGTGTTCCTTTGTAGCTGATTAAATTGGAGACCTTATTGCACCTTCCAGTACCTGAAGGGGCTACAAGGAAGCTGGGGGGGACTTTTTACAAGGGCCTGTAGTGACAGGACAAGGGGTAACGGGTTTAAATTGAAAGTGGGGAGGTTTAGACTGGATATCAGGAAGAATTTCTTCCTGGAGAAGGTGGTGAAGCACTGGAACAGGTTGCCCAGAGAAGCTGTGGATGCCCCATCCCTGAAAGTGTTCAAGGCCAGGCTGGATGAGGCTTGGAGCACCCTGGTCTAGTGGAAGGTGTCCCTGCCCATGGCAGGGGGGGTGGAACTAGATGGTCTTTAAGGGCCCTTCCAACCCAAACCAGTCTATGATTAAATGAGAGGCGATTGTCAATGTCAGTAGAAAATGGGACTCTGAATCTGTGGTGTTGCATCAATAACGGTTTTAACAGCTCTGCCATTATCTTAATTTTAAAATGTTGACGTACGTCCTGGAAAGCCGATCAAGTGTAAAACTGCATAAAGAAATAACTCTGTTTCATGCAGGATTTTCATTATTTGGTTTGATTAAGAATGAAAATATCAACATTTTTCTCCACCAAGATGTCAGCCTGGCCTTTTAGCTGTTATGCACAGTGGGAAAAAATCAGAGGTCATCTTTCCCGAGAGATCTGCCCAGATCTGCAGATCCTGGAGGCACTCAGAGCTACCAGCCTGCCACAGCCGGAAGATGGAGCTGGTCATAGCGATCGTGGGGGATTTCTTTTTTCTTGGTAGCCCAGGACAGTCTCCTGGAGGCTGGATTTTAAGACCCGATTGAAAATTGGCTTCCTCAATAGCAGCTTGATAAGCTGTTACGGAACCAAGTGAAGGAGCAGTGTGGGATGGGATGGTCACCCGTGGCACCCATTCAAGGACACCCTTGAAACCTGCCCCCAAGTCAGGCTTCATCGAGCATTTTGATTTCAGCCAACCAGCCGATTAGAATGAAAAATAACTTCTATTGTAGTACTTTGAGTTATTCCTAGCAACAAGCTTGTGGCCTGGAAGCCATAAATGCATTTTATTCTTTGGTGACTGAAAAGAGAAGTTTGTGTTTTTTCCCATGAAAACGTTAAGGAAAATTCCCGTTTTAGCAGGAGATGCATCTGAACCATGTGTGTAGGCTGTGGGGACATCTGCTGGGGTGCTGGGATACGGCAGACTTTAAAATTGTTGACGGTGGAATGATTCGAGCATGAATATGCCAAAAATTGTTAATTATTGCGGCATTCTTTCGAGGCTGAGAATTTCACATTTTGCCCGCGGAGGGAACCAGGTGCCCGTATCGTAGGATCTCCCTGCAAACCGCTGTGGGAGAACACTTAAGACCCATATAAGCACATCCAGACATAACCATCTAAATTTAAAACCTCCGTATTTTGCTCATGTAAAAAAATCTGTAGAAAAGAAGAAATCTCTGGGAATTCCTTGTAACCACGGGCGGGCCAAGAGGAGCTGGCGTCCTGTGAGGCCGACCAGCTCCGTCAGCCCCGACCACAGAACAGCCCTCCGCAGCTTCCTGCGGTATCCTCGGGGCTGGAAACACTGTTCTTGCAGCTGGAAATAAAAAATGGCCTTCCTTCCTCCCCTCCTGTCTACCAGCTCTTGCGGTGGCCATCCCAGGATCAGCAGAAGGGCTTCGGTGATGGGACTGGCACGGCCACACGTTGCCACATTGCAGAATCGTGGTCTGAAATGTAGCACTGGATTTCTTTTTGTTAAAGTAAGAAAAAATGCCATTAAAAAACTAATCCCAGCTTGAATCCAATAGTGTACGCAGCCCTAAATTGAGCCAAAATTGTCATATTCATAGACTTTGGTAGACTACTGTGTCCAGCTGTGGGGCCCTCAACATCAGAAGGATATAGACTGGTTGGAGTGAGTCCAGAGGAGGCCACGAAGATGCTCAGAGGGCTGGAGCATCTCTGCTATGGGGACAGGCTGAGAGAGTTGGGCTTGTTCAGCCTGGAGAAGAGAAGGCTCCGGGGAGACCTTATAGGACCTTCCAGTACCTGAAGGGGCTACAAGGAAGCTGGGGGGGACTTTTTACAAGGGCCTGTAGTGACAGGACAAGGGGTAACGGGTTTAAATTGAAAGTGGGGAGGTTTAGATTAGATATCAGGAAGAAGTTCTTCCGGGAGAGGGTGGTGAGGCCCTGGAACAGGTTGCCCAGAGAAGCTGTGGATGCCCCATCCCTGGAAGTGTTCAAGGCCAGGCTGGATGAGGCTTTGAGCAACCTGGTCTAGTGGAAGGTGTCCCTGCCCATGGCAGGGGGGTTGGAACTGGATGGTCTTTAGGGTCCCTTCCAACTTAAACCATCCTATGAATTGTGGAATAAATTGTGTTCCAGTCAGTCAGTATAGACTTAATTAACTTGCCAAGATTAAGGAAACTTTCTTCTTGCCAGTTGGAAAAGATGTGGCTGGGGAGATGATATCTATCTGTTCTGGCTATTTGGTCAAAATTCCATTTAGCATTCCATTTTCCTCATGTACTTCCCTGTATATCTGTATAAGCTGCTTCTTGCTGTCTGGAATTGTAGGATGTTTGAGGGGCTGGCACTGCCTTCTAGGTTTGCGTTTGAAAATTGCCTTTTCAGTGGTGTTTTCTACAGGCACAAGAATAGAACAAAAGGCAGAGGTGTATGCATTTTAAACTCTTCTGTTGAAATTTTGGGATGCCTGTGTACTGACAGAGGTCACCATCGTTAGATAACTAATTTTCACAAATTCTGGACCCTTCATGCCCCACACTCCCCGTTACTTACACTGAGCTCAAATCCTGTTTGTGGCCTAATCAGAGACACTCTGTAGCCCTTTTTCCTGCGTCTGTGTCACTCCCTTTGGAAACCTTGTCGGCCATCGATGGGTGGAAATTGCCGCTATAGGACAGGGCACAAGTTGTTTCACAGCTGAGTCTTCTGTATTAATGCAGAAAACGGTGCTCCAGGCAGCTGGCTAGAATTACATTTATTCCGTCCCTAAGGATGTATGACTTAAATACGAAAAATGTGGAGCAAAATGTAGGCTCCCCTGTAGTCTGTGTTTTTTTGGCCCCCCCCCCCCCCCATCCTCTATGCTTTTAGATAAGAGCAAAGCTGATAAGGCTGGGAGAAACTGTGGTTTGCTTTGCTGAGGTACAAATCCCATCCCCCCCCTCCCCGGGTGCATCCGTGCTGTTTGCAGTCGAAATACATTTCTGCTCTTGCGTTAGTAACTTCCAGCATCTGACCAAACGTTAACAAGGAAAACAGCTTTAAGAATGCTTCAAAGAAGAACTCACTGATGCTTCCGTGTAATCGCTAACAGAGTGGTGTTCTACAGCCGTTATGAGTTTGAAGTCAAACTGCTGAATCCAGTTTGCCTCCTGCAGAGAGACGCAGATCGGTCCTGCATTATCCCGAGCCTCTTCGCCGTGCGGAGTGCAGCTTTGTCCGGGGTGGTGCTCGGTGAGGGACGCGGAACTAGGAAGGAAAATAGGACGTGTTACACCAGATACTTTGTAAACAGATTATCCCAGGATATTAAGTTCCATTAAACTGATAATAAATTTATTTTTCTTTTTTTTTCCTTGCGCAGGGCCGTGCCTCGTTAACATCCGAGAAACAGCGTTTTGCCCACGAACACGGTGAAATGAAAGATCTGGCAGATATTGTTAGAGAGATAAAACCGTCCGTGCTAATCGGTAATTTCTTTTACTTTAAAGCAATGACCTTATTCCGTGTTGGAAAAAAAATGGGGCTGTGGCTTTGTCTGAAGACAAGATCGAGTTCCTCGGAACAGAGTTTACCTTTGTGTGTTTTTAGAAAACACTGGGGGCATAATGGACTCCATTAAGGGACTTGAACAAACAGGATCTATCCAAGCAATCTAGCTCTGCTTTCACTCCAGGCCGCGCGTATTACGGGGGGGAAAATCCCAGTAGGTTTAAACATCTGATGGGGAACCTTATCACTGCCCTAAGTTACTTCTGATTTAGTGTGGATGGTGTACTACAAATAAGCTCAGGCTGAGAAAACTGAGCTAAGCACGTATAAAGCTGTGCAAATATGAGCTGAATCTTCTTTTCCCTCGTTTGTAGGTCCTTAGCCACTGTTCCTTTGTGCAGCCCAAAACACAGGTTTTACAGAGGCTTTTTCTTTTATAAAAGCTGCAGGGTTTTGGATCTCAGTAAAGGATTGCTCAGCTCTCTGCAGTTTGGTTTTTGATTTTCAGTGACAGTTGCAGGAGTGAACTGCAAGTACTCTGAAATAATTTTTTTTTAATATGTAAGATTTGAAAATTCTTAAAAGCATGCATCAGATGCTGGAAAATCTGAAATGCCACAGTGAAGTTCATCCTGCGTTTTAAGAGCTACCCTTCTTTGACTGTGCCTAGACCACATGGTCCCTGGTCAGCAAAACCTGCTTTTGACAGTGATCATGAATGAGGTAAACAGAGCTTGTCTTTTCCGGTGCTCCATGAAGATACAACTGCAAGGCAGAGACCGGGACATCGAGAAGGTTTATCTAGCAGAACACAAGGCTGGAAGAAGCTAGTGGAACAGAAGAATAGGTGGAATGATCTCTGATACTTAATTAGATAAGGCGTGCGGGGACTGAGGGGACGTTTGCTGCTGCGAAGCAGGGATGTGTTACTGTGCATTATTGTTCCATATAAATCCGTGCGGCACTTTGCCTTGAGGTCACTTTCTTCTATCCGTACTGCGTAATGAAGGCTCTTCCAACAGAGACAGCTATAAAAATTAACACTGGGGTGGTTTTTTATCAATTTGGAGAACTAGACATTCAGTATCTTCCCGTGGGTAGCAGTTGTCATGGGGAAATATGTGGATTTTCCTTCTTCCAGTGTTTTACTTGACTCTGTCTCAGCGAATCCTCACATACATTTTATCACCTCTGATGGCTCAAGGAAAAGGCTCAGTTTAGCTGGTCCAAATAGAAGAAATTTCAATTTTAAAATGAAAACCAGGAAGGAAATAGTCAGTGAGATTGTTCAGAGCATTTTAGTTTAGCTTTATCTCTGAAGGTAGTTGTCATTCTTACTATTGGCTGTCCAGAAGCAGTTTTAAAAGACATTAAGCATTTGGTGACTGCAGACTTTGCCAGAAAATAAGGTGTGTAACAGGCTCTTTCAGCAGTCATGGCTGCCATACCTGTTCCTCAAACATGCAGTGGCCCAGCTGGTCTAGCAGAGCTTGTGCGCCTGAGCATCTCTGTCCTTTCGTGGAAGGTGAAGTACAGAGAGCTCAAATTTGCCAAAACACAGCAGTATGTGACACAAACGTTTGAGCAAGAGGTGTGCAAGCTTTGAGAGAAGTCACCGATTCGCATCAGTTGAGGAGTTGCCTCTCTTGTTGCTGAGAGATCAGAATAAGGGGGATTTGGCCAGACAGAAAACCAAATGGGTCTTAGAAATTATTGGGTCCACATTAAGCACCTAAACAGCACCCAAAGAGCCTGTCGTGGGGTGCTTGGGCTTTCAGTAGACCTCTTGGGAAAGCTCAATTTAAGGCAAGACAGGGAATTTCAGTGGGGCACCCACCTCCCCCTGCTGAGGGCACAGGCTGCGCGTGGAGGTGTCCGAGACGATACTGTGCTTCACGTAGAAAATTGTTGCTCTCAGGGAAGTCCTAGGCTCAAAATTGGGATTATTCATCAGTTGAGGCTGGAGATGACAGAACAATCACGTGTAGAAGGCAGAGGCTTTACTTGTTGCATCAGAAAAAAACTGGAATCTGACACACTGGATTTGGGAGAAACTATGCAGTCTGTTGCGGGAGACTTTAGGAGATGGAGCTGTACCTTCCTCCTCCTTGTTGGACTTACCTGCAGGTTAGGTGACACATTCCTATTTCATATAAAGGGCCTGAAAAAAGGGAAGTGAGAAGTTCACCGAACTGGGCAGGGGTGAATCGGTTCCACCTTACATTAGGGATAACGTTGGAGTTTGGCTGTTGCAAAATCTTTTATGTAAAACTCAACGTTAACCACGTTAGGAAAAAGATTGAACCCTGTTTTAAAGAGTCAGAGGAGCTCTGTGTTTTTGAGAGAGACATGCATGTCTTACCTTGGACTGATTGCATTTGTCTGCTTGTTATGTGTGTGTTTTTTCTTCTTTAGGAGTCGCTGCCGTTGGTGGTGCTTTTACTAAAGAAATCCTTCAGGATATGGCTGCTTTAAACCAACGTCCTATTATTTTCGCTCTCAGCAATCCTACCAGCAAAGCAGAATGCACTGCTGAGCAGTGCTACAAATACACAGAGGTAACCAAAGACTAACATCTCTCCGTTTCTGAAGGGAAAAGTAAATCTGGAATCGCTTTTGAAAGGGGAGGAAGACAGAGGGTGGAGTAGCAGGTACTAAGCATGTCTCTGTGTGTAGGAAAATGAGTTGAATTAAGTAACAGGATTTTCAGATTTTAGCAAAGCAATTTCACTGAAGTGCTTGCATCCTCATAAAAACGTTGAACAGCTTTTATTGGTGTCAGGCAAGACTCGTTGTCTTTTTTTACAACCAAAACATCAGTAACCGTCGCTCATTAAAGCTGCCTTATGGCTGGTTTTGAACTGTACTGTGTCGTGTCGTATCTACACACAGTGGCATGCTTTTCGTTTGAGGGTTGATAAATACTCTTTAGGGTAAGAAAATACTTTAATACAGGAAGTAGTGTCTTTAATTCTCTATTAAGAGCTGGGGTAACTGACTCATTTTACAAAGATTTCTGTTATGGAAGCGTTGGTGAAAATTAAGAGAACTATGCTGCTTATGTATTAATGTATAATAGAATTATAATATGTATAAACACATTATCCTGTAATTCAGTCTAGAATTAGAAATGTACCTGAAGGGGCCTACAAGGAAGCTGCAGGGGGGGACTTTTTACAAGGGCCTGTAGTGACAGGACAAGGGGTAATGGGTTTAAATTGAAAGTGGGGAGGATTAGATTGGATATCAGGAAGAAGTTCTTCCCGGAGAGGGCGGTGAGGCACTGGAACAGGTTGCCCAGAGAAGCTGTGGATGCCCCATCCCTGGAAGTGTTCAAGGCCAGGCTGGATGAGGCTTTGAGCAACCTGGTCTAGTGGAAGGTGTCCCCGCCCATGGCAGGGGGGGTGGAACTAGATGGTCTTTAAGGTCCCTTCCAACCCAAACCATTCTGTGATTCTGTGCGTGAGTACTCATACATGTTTCGTAGGGGATTGGTGTTTGGATTTCTTGTCAACCGCAGGGCAGTTTGAATGACAGTTTCCCAGTGTTGGAAAGACAAATTTAGCGTGCCCGTTCCCCACCACACAGCCCACAATTACAGCGCAGGAGCCAGGGAAGCGGCCTGCATGAAGGGCTGGCTGTAGTGGGTAATGACAGCTGGTAGGCAGGGCTGAGGACGCACTGGAGCATTTGATCTGTCACCAAAACGTATAATAAGCTGGCCATGATAATACTGTGGGACACCAAACCAGAGTATTCTTCTGAAGAGCTGAGTAGCAGGAGTGGCATATTTTAAAATGCTCGTTTCCAGCCCTCTAAAATAGGCACAGATATTTCTGACACAAAGCGCCTCTGAGGCGTTTAACAGTGACATTTATCACTTCAGCGGCGCTAGCATAAATAAAGGCTGGCTTTTCTTCCCCACCTAAATTTACTGCTTAAATTCGAGGCCGCTCCCTCCCCGACAAGGCAAGGGCCAGGGGCCTTCGGGCTGCGGACGTAGCGCCCGGGCAGCGTTCGCTCCCCTCGTTAGGACAAAACCGCACTGCCTGCTGTAGAAATTCCTTCTCTCTCCCTGCGTGTCAGGAATGATCTGGGGAGAACCCGGACAGTCGTGCTGCAGGCACATCACCTCTGATGTGCCTCTTTTGCCACCCTTGAAGGGTGCTCGATGGTTACACCACTGGGGTGTTCCTCATCCCAGGGAGCAATGAGAGTCCATCACACTCGCGGCTCCCCTACAGCCCATCCCTCGGTACCCCGGTGGTATCACAGCTCTGAGCCTCCGTGCTCCTGCACGTCACGAGGCCTAATACTCCTCTGCCCTGCTGCCACATCTGGGCCACACCACAGCCTTCTATTCCTACCCGCATCTGCCTGTCGTGTGCCATGGGCCGGCGTGGAGCTTTGGGTCCTGGGAAGAGATTTAGAGGTCCCATGTGAGCTACAACATACAATGTAGTAGTTAGAGCAGGTTCTCTTGTCTGCAGGACGAGTGACATGGTGTACCTTTATCAGTATATCTGAATTCTCTAATTCCCCAAAACAGGCTGGTTCTTCCCTACTGCCTGCTGGGACCAGTCTGTGCATGGTGCCAGGGCTCTGGTGGCAACACTGCTACTTGGCACTACCCAAATTCTGCTGGGAAACGTCCATCCTAGTGATTTGTCAGGGTCAGATGATCCCATGCCGGTGCCCGAGTTGGTCCTGTCACCCTAGTCTGTGTGTTACAGTGAGGGGAGCCACAAGGTCCCAGTAGGGGACGTCACCGACTCGTCCTATAGGTTGCACCGTGGGATGACGCTTCTGGGGCAGAGCTGGCACCTCTGTCATCCTGTCGAGCTGTGGAGCGGTCGCAGGGGGCTGAAGAGGGGAGATTGGGCAGAACAGAGAACTCCGCCTGTCCCTGTGGCTTCTCAGAAATGGCCACATCCAAAAGTGCCAGCATTTAGTGGCCTTAGTGTCATTTTTGTGGATGATCTGCTTTTGGGAAGAAAAAATCCAGCAGTATCACCCATTGTTACCGTATTGTCCGCTTTGAGTTTTACAGCTCCGGGTGTATTCCCATGCAGCCGCCTTCTGGCGTGGATGCAGGGTGTGAATAACGAGTGCTGGTTTTCACTTTCTCCTCCTCTAAATTGTGCTGATACCTCTTAGCTGAGTGAGGCAGCTGTTAATCCGTGACACCAGGGAGTCGCAGGGATCTGCCAGGGATCTCTAGGATCAGCATCCTGGTGCTCTTGAGACATACTTAAGTAGCTCTAACAGCCTCTGAGAAGAGAGATTAAATAGATGTTCCCCAGCTACCACAGCGGTAGATATTTGAAGGGATGTGTGAAGTACTTCAGCAGCAGCCTTGCCACTAACGTGCTTTCTTTGGCTTCCCTGTTACCATTTAGGGACGTGGCATTTTTGCCAGTGGAAGTCCTTTTGATCCTGTCACTCTTCCAAACGGACAAACGCTCTACCCTGGCCAGGGTAACAATTCCTACGTGTTTCCTGGAGTTGCCCTCGGTGTTATTTCATGTGGACTGAAACATATCGGCGAGGACGTCTTCCTGACAACTGCCGAGGTACCGTATTAAAAATGATTTAAATCCCTTGATTTACTAACTTGGTAATAATGAACAATTAAACAGAAATAGTTAAACATTATCTTTTTAAATTGGAAGCATAGTGCTTTCTGTGTAAGGTATGTTGGTTTTCTATAAATTCTGTTTGAACAAGTTATTTTTCAGAAGTACAGGCTTGGTCCAAAGGTCGTCTGGCATAAGGTTCTGTTCTGTTGGCAAGGGAAACACGGGCAGCCTGCGGTACGGTACTGTCACGGGTGACTGCACGTATGTACGGTTTGCATACGTGTGCACATAGGTTTGATTTTAGATTGAAAGGAGCGATATTTTGGTGCTGGTAGCTTTGGGGTGACTTTTGTGGGTGTTTCACTTGCAAAGATTATTTGAATTTCCTTTAGCTTTTTGCTGGTTTTGGGTAGAGCTGTTGACATCAGTTTTTGTGGACCTCCCTTGTCCACAGCTGGCGAAAGCGCTCCATCGCCGCGTGGCTCCTTGCACCACGGTTGGTCACAGTTGCCGTTGCACTCTTCCCCTTTCCTTTCTTATCCTTTTGTGTGTTGGTTCTTTTCTTCCTTTGGGCAGTTTTTTATGAGCTTTGTTCCGCTGTTCTTCAGCGTGTGATCTCTCCTTCTTATCGCCACTCCGCAGGCAAGAGAGGAACAGAGAGAAAACACTTCTGGTTCCAGGAGTTGTTTGCCACCTACTTCCAGTGGTTGTTCAAAGTCTGACACCCATGGTCTTACACTTGGATGTCATAAATGCACAGGGTTGTGTCTTCAACACGTAGGGGAGAAGAATCTGGCCCTTTATTATTTTAGAATCCCTTATTCAGGCAAAATCGGTTACTAGCAGTGGTTGAAATCAAATGCTTAACTTTTATTTTTAAACAAAACGTTAAGTCAATCTTCCTGCAGGTGTTTCTCACTTAAGAGGGTTGTAACTTTCTGTGCTTTTCTGGGTCCAGCATCTTTGCTCCTCATCCACTATAGCGCCATCGCACCCTTACCACTCCTTCCTCTGACCCTTTCCATCTCACCGCTGTCCCAGAGTTCCGGTCTCCTCTGTTGGTTCCACTCTCAGCTGGCACCAAGAGCCGTGTAATGAGCCTCGCAGGACACAGCTTCCTTCTGCTGCATGATGTGATGATATCCAGGGATGCTCAGGCTCCTGGCTGCTCTGCTCCCAGGAACATGCTTCCAAGCGAATCCTGTTCAGAGGGAGCTCAGTACAGGCAGTGACTAGAGACCTCTGAGCAGTGCATGATAGGGTGACCATGCCCATGCGAGGTCATGAAAAGCCTGATGCTTCCTGGGTTTCTTTAAAGGATGTGGGAAGAAGGAAGAAGGCTAGCTGCGGCTTACCAACTTGACTCTAATTAACCCAGTGGTGATTTCTACCCAGTCCAGCTCATACACACTACAACCCCCAGAACTTCATGAGAGTGCAGCGCCCTGAGCTTCAAAGAAGCTGTGTAAGCAGGCTTCGAAGCGCAGAGGTAGTGTAGGTAGCACGCAGAGGAAGCCTCAAAGGAATGCAATTAGCAAATATTATGGAACACTGGAGGGGTAAAAAAGAGAAGAAACAAAAGTTGCCTCAATTAGCAGAAGTGAGAGTGCCTGACTCAACTCTCAGAGCTCCTCTAAGGAATATTGCGTTCCAGGATTCTTGCCCATTGTGTCCTCTTCATGGCTAAAGGGAAGGAAACGGCCCTACACTGTCACTCGGGGGTGACTGACAGGCAGCGCGATCCCATGGCAGGCAGTATGTGATGTGCAGCTGGGTGAGCATCTGCACGCTGCCCTTGCTGGATCGCTGAGGGGTTTCTTCAGCTGCCTGCTGCGACGTCTTCAACAACGTGTGCCAGCAGCTCGCCCTCTGTACGCAAGATACCCAGAATTCCCGTCTTTAAAATTAGTAAAAAGCCCAGACTGTCTCCACTGGCTTTAACCATCTTAGGAGGGCAACGATCCATCCCGTGAGTCTTCGGATAATTACGTCCTCCCTTTAAATCCTTCCCTGTAATTTCAGTTGGATACGGCGATCCTCACTGGCTGCTCTAAACTGCTGCGTTGAACAGTTGTCTTACTTCATTCTAGAAGTCGCTTCATTTTGGTTTGGGCGAAACGGTTCCCGTGTATAGAGTGCTGATGGAGGAAAGGTGGCACACTTGTGGACTGAGTGGTGTTTCAGGTGGCAGTCAGCTAGGTCAGGGAAAAAATAAACCCTGTTCTGAACACAGAAGCTTAAGCGAACGAACGGATGGAATAGTCAGGGAAGTACAATGGCATCAGACATTGCGAGGAAGCTTTTAAATTCTCTCTCGATTTAGAGGTCCTCTCTTTTTTGGTGAAGGCTTTGCTGCGCTATTGCCATCCTCTAGAAAATTCCCTATCGAAGTTTGACATGTAAGAATGTGTATTTTTCTGGCATAGTAGGTCCCTGTTGGCGGCAGGATCGGTGAGTGGTTAGCTACTGGCCTGACGGCTGGAGCCGAGGGCATTCCCCTCTGGTCTCCCTGCTTGTGCGAGGGGCAGCGCGGGGCTGGGTGAGCTACAGCCCGTTACCGAGCCAGGCGAGAGCTGACGGATTTCAGAGGTTTCACCTTTGCCAGTAAGAGGTGTCAGGGGTGCGAGGGCCGGGCGGGCTGCGCAGGCCCTTACTGAAATTACACCGCAAAGCAAAGGCAAGAGTGCGTGTTGGTTTGCTACCTTGGATTTTGGAATGGAAGGGTAAAACCAAAATAATTGCGTGTGGATTTTAGAGGAGTGGTTAGTGTTCTCCTTCTGGAATGGAAGCACCCAAGGTGCTGCAAAACGTAAAGCACCAACCCCATGCGCTTGACGGAGGGACCTTCGCAGATTGTCGCGGTACCTTATGTTAAAAACGGAAGTATGAAAAATAAGCAGCCTGGCCTGCACCTCCCGTCTTCTTGCTTTGCCACCTCTCCCATTAAATCTGATGAAAGTCACAACTAGCTGACTGCACCCACAACACATCCTGCTTTCCGTGTCCTTTTGTTCCTGCCGAGTAAGACGGAATGTAGCTTTGATTTTGGATGATAAATCTAAGGTGCTGTAAGCTGTGATGCCTCTTAATTGCCGGCAGTTGCTCTGTGATGACAGGGGGCATCACCTGTTCTTCCGAGTCCTACCAAACGCGACAGAAGGGACAGAGAATTATGAACTAATGAAATATTCTTGGCACGTATGACCTACAGTTGAGTTACTCCAGAAAATAATCCTGTTAAGTCCTTTCATCGTGTAGAATACGTCCTCCAAAAGCCAAGATGCCCTCACTTGCTTTATGCCATTTGTCCTCTCTTGGCTGCCTTTCATTTAGTTTCTGCAATAGGGCTTAGTTAATTTCTCCATTAAAAACTTGAAAACATGAAAATAGCCAGACTGGGTTGGATCTAAGGTCCAAACAGCCCGGTATCTTCCTGTGCAAGGAACCAGTAGCAGAAGCTGAGGGAAAAGAGGATAAATCAGGGGAAAGCACAGTGATCCTTCTGCTGAAGTGGCTTCTCAGCTTCTGGCAGCCTGTACTAGATGGCCTTCCTGCACCGGAAGTTTTATCCCTGTATGGATTTCTCTTCCAGAAATGAGCCTATTGGCTTTTTAAGCATGTTTATACGTTTGAACATCTTTTGGCAGTTAGTGTCACAATTTAATTCCGAGTTGTGCAGAAAGAGAAACTCTTCCTTGCGTGATTTCCTGCGGTCTGATCATCTGGGCTGCCTGTAGTGCTGTCAGCAACGTTCACCTTCAGGTGTCTTTTGTATTTTCTTCCAGTCTTCTCTTTCTTTTTTTCCCCCCCAAACTCTATTTTTTTGGGTTGTCTCGCTGTACAAAAACTAACCTTTTGATCATCCTCGTTATTCTTTATGCCAGCTGTGGCCCTGCCCCGTTCCTGTTGGAAGCAGGTGGAGCACAAACGCACACGGTTCAACACAGTGTTAGGCCGTGGATTTATACGTTGGCATAATCACATTTTCTGTGGTGCCTCTGAAGTTCCTAATAGTGCCAGATGTTCGTTCATCATTTTTTTCCCTGCCGCTGAACTGATGTTCTCAGGGGGTGTTTTTCAGAGGCCACATAAGGAGGAGTGATTCTCTTGGAGAAGACTTGTTTCTGTGGCGTCTCAGAAGGAGTAGCGTGGCGTCTGTGCAGCTGAGCTCCTACCTCTCCCGCGTTGAGCGCTGCCCAGAAGTTTTGTCACTTGTTTCGTGGTGGCCCCACCACGAAACAGAAGGACTCCACTCCTGATCCCTTTTTTTTTTTTCCAGTGATGCATTGGATTGCCAGGAACGTGCCGTTGGGTTTCTTCACATTTCATCTTTCCTGCAGAGCTCCCTTAAACCACTCGCAGCAGAAACCTCGTGTCGTGAAGCTCTTCTTTACACGTGCATCTGGTTTTGTCCAAGGGATGTGTATGATTTTTAAATAACCCAGTTGCCGTTATGGAAAGCAAAACCCAATCTGACGTGGTCCCAGCTCCCCCTAGTGGGTGTTTAGCTCGGCGGTATTTCCCAGTACCACAATAACGTGGAAACAATTTTCCTTTATTCGTTATACTCAAAAAGAGTATAATCTCTTGTTAGCATTTCCCCTCCAAATGGAAAAACTGCATCTGCCAGCACGGTGGGCAGAGCGCCCAGGAGAACATTGCTTCTCTTTGAACCTGGGGTTGCTGTAGCGTATCATCTTTCATTCAGACTTTTTACCTGTTTCTGCCAGGGAGGGTGAATTGATGGCAGGCAGGCACCCCTTCTGACGCAGTCCTAGCTGTTTGCAAGCAACGTACACCAGCTCCCCTTTCCCACATACAGCAGGAACTGTAGGAAGCTGTGCCCTCTTTCAAGTATATTCCTAGTATGTTCCCTCCAGAGTGCGCTTCTTGCCTTCTCTTCGGGCCACGTTATCGGTTTCATCTCAGTGTTTCCTGGACTTCCCTGGTGTTTTCAGAACCTCTTCATGGGTCATACATGGCTCCACCAGACGCTCCCCAGACCAGAGTTTTCCTTCCATCCACAGAGTACCCCCGTGAGTCACATCACGCAGTAGTATCCCTGCGCTCTGGAACCAGTCAGTGATTTGGTTTTCACCTCTTTTTATCTAAGTTGTAATTGTACAAAAATGTAGCATTGCTCCTGACGGAGAAAGGAGTCTCGTGTTTTCATACAATCATAGAATGGTTTGTGTTGGAAGGGACCTTAAAGACCATCTAGTTCCAACCCCCCTGCCATGGGCAGGGACACCTTCCACTAGACCAGGTTGCTCAAAGCCTCATCCAGCCTGGCCTTGAACACTTCCAGGGATGGGGCATCCACAGCTTCTCTGGGCAACCTGTTCCAGTGCTTCCCCATCCTCTCCAGGAAGAATTTCTTCGTGATATCTAATCTAAACCTCCCCACTTTCAATTTAAACCCATTACCCCCTGTCCTGTCACTACATATTTGGCATCAGAACAGTCTTCCTGAGCACATCTCCCCAGTGTCCCTACGTAGTCCACCTTGGTCCACAGCACAGCACGGTCTAGGGAGGGGAGGGGGACTGGTTTCCTTTTGGGTGAAAATAAAAAAGGATACGCTCCAGGAGCAAGTGTAAAGGACTAAATCTCGGTGGAAACTGCTTATAAATCGTAGCAGATTTAAGAAGTGTGAGTTTTCACAGTACAGAGAACTTCCTTTCTTGTGACTGTTCCATGTTCCCAGCTTTTCAAAGGGCAAGTGACATTCCCCCCACCTCCTCCCCAAGCCATTTCCTTTTCCTTTGCAAAGCCAAGATAGAGAAATTTGTAATTTGGAATCTGCTGAGGCAAATTTGTCTCAATATTTTTAATCATTTGTTTTGAGAACCATAGGAGAGAACGTTAGTGAAGGCAACTATTCAAAACTGTATAAAGTCAGACCATTCTTGATATGTTAATTTTGTGCTTAGTTTGCTTGGAAGATATTTAGATCTGGCTCTAACTACCAGCTCCCTAGATGGTAGAAAGGTGGGCAGTTAAAGACATGAAACCTTCAGGTCCACCAAAGAGACTACAAAGTAGGAGACAGTTTAGTCAACTGGTATCAGCTGATTCTCAGGCTCAGCAAATCCCAGTCCGGATCACACTGAGGTGCTGTTTTCTGCTTCAGGTCCCCAAATGACAAACAAATTTTGGCTAATGATAACAGGAATATCATAGAATCATAGAATGGTTTGGGTTGGAAGGGACCTTAAAGATCATCTAGTTACGCCCAAAAATGAAGATATCGTTACACGCAGAGGCAGCCCCAGGACCCTTTGCTTCTTAGAAGGTATCTGTTGTAGTAACAGAGGAAGTTCATGAGGTGAGCTCGTAAGCAGACAGTGCAAGCAGGGTCTCTCCTCACTCTGCGGAAAATGTCCTCACACCTCATGGTAATTTTTCATACAGCCATTGAGGAAACAGTAAAAAGCCACTTGTGGAGCCTGCCACGCTTTACTGATCTGTTCATTGCTGGAGATGACAATAAAATATCTCCAGTCTTGCTAGGAAGACCAAGGAAGCATGTTCAGGCCAGAGGGGAGATGCTTCTCTCGGATGTGCATCAGGACTTCTGTACTATTCCTTATTTCCCCTGGTCAGTCTAGTGGAAAAAATCAAGCAAACAGCAAAACAATTTCTTCCGTTTTTTGGTATGGTTGAGATGACAGACCCACGACAGCCTTTTTCTGGCAGCACTGTTTATTCTGTCCCAGCACGCCAGAATTCAGCAGCAAACCTCCTGTTCCTGCATCTGACTGCAGTGACCGACGGAGCTTTGGAAGACCCTGGATATGTTACTTTGTTCTGTGGCTGACCACACTCACTTTTGTGATCTCATACCGGCTCAGTGTGTCAGCTGGACACACAACAAACCTGCTCAGCCACCCGTAATTTAATTCAAAGCATTTTACACCTAAGGGTTTCAGCTCTGTTCTCTGCACGGGCTGACTTGACAACTGTCAGAATAACAGGCGCTTCTTTGATTTTAGAAGTCTTTGACCCAATTACAATTGGTGGAATTTATATCCCTCAGCAAACTATTGGCTAGTTTGTGTGTGTCATGGACTTGATCAAGACTTGAGAAGGTCTTGTTGTCTGGCTGAGAAAAGGGCATAACTCCCTAAATGTCTGTCTCTTGTGTAGCTGCTCCTAATGATAAGGCTGGTTGTAAAACACTGCCTAGGTGGAATTAAGCGGTATCTGCGTGATTTGCCAAAGCGGAACCATTGCTTTGCTTAAGGCTAGATCACTGTCTAATAACGCTGCAGCTGCGTTTCAGGTTAAACAGGTCTGCTTTATTTCTAGGTAATAGCTCAGCAAGTTTCTGAGGAGCATTTGCAGGAAGGTCGTCTGTACCCTCCATTAGTCACTATTCAGCACGTGTCGCTGAAAATTGCTGTGAGGGTAAGTAATTTCCATCTTTCATGGCTTCTTTTCTTCCCACGCTCCCTGCATAACTGAGGATTTGATGTGATCAACTAACGCACCTTCACACAGGTTGAAGTTGGTTTACGTCAATCAGTCTTGGACAAGTAGCAGTTTCAAAATTCAATATAAGTACATAGATGTAAATGTCATCAAATACAAGAAGACATGGAACTACAGCAAGTGTTTCACAGAATCACAGAATGGTTTGGGCTGGAAGGGACCTTAAAGACCATCTAGTTCCAACCCCCCTGCCATGGGCAGGGACACCTTCCACTAGACCAGGTTGCTCAAAGCCTCATCCAGCCTGGCCTTGAACACTTCCAGGGATGGGGCATCCACAGCTTCTCTGGGCAACCTGTTCCAGGGCCTCACCACCCTCTCCGGGAAGAACTTCTTCCTGATATCCAATCTAAACCTCCCCACTTTCAATTTAAACCCGTTACCCCTTGTCCTGTCACTCCAGGCCCTTGTAAAAAGCCCCCCCCAGCTTCCTTGTAGCCCCTTCAGGTACTGGAAGGGGCAATAAGGGCTCCCTGGAGCCTTCTCTTCTCCAGGCTGAACAAGCCCAACTCTCTCAGCCTGTCCCCATAGCAGAGCTGCTCCAGCCCTCTGAGCATCTTCGTGCCCTCCTCTGGCCTCGCTCCAACCAGTCTATATCCTTCTGATGCTGGGGGCTCCACAGCTGGACACAGCACTCCAGGTGGGGTCTCACCAGAGCAGAGTAGAAAACTCCCAATTCTTTCTGCCTGATCTCTGCTGAAACTTTATTCCTGCACATACCCACTCTGGCTCATACAGCCCAAGAGAATTAGTGGCCTCTGCCTTTTCCAGGAGAGTAATACACTCAAATGTTTTTGGAATACCGAACGTGGGGTATAAATTCAGGCCGTATTCAGCTGCTAATTATGCACACAGACCTGAAGATGAACTCTCACATCAACACCCCCGAAGTGCTTCTCAGTCAAATCAGGTTGGGCTTCAGATTACTCCTAGAAAGGAAGTCTGAACGTGGTAATCTGGGGTCTCAGCTTCTCACCAAGATGAAACAGTCCTGTTTTAAAGAGAGGGCTAAGGAGAGCAGGAAGGAGCCGCCTTCCTTCTGTTCCAAGTCGGAGCATTTGTCTGTGCCAAACACAGTCTGAAGCAGATCTTTGCGAGGAGTGCTGCTGCACAAAGCAGTCTGACAAACGTGTTTCACAAATGAATGTCCAGTCTAGGGATACGATGTCTCAAGTAGGTGTTCTTCAGACCGAGGGGCTACTGTGATGTGTTGAGTGGGCTCCAACCCCTTCTAAACTTCATGCTTGCTGCAGCTATACTTGTGATGCGTAATCGATTCACCTAGGCATGGTCTGGGTGAGGAAAAAGCAAGCAAATATTCGTATTTCCCCCAACTGTCTCTAGGATTAAACCTGTGCACTGTGTGAGATTAGTATTTTCTCTCCTGGGTTTCCCTTTAAGAAACGCACCATCAGACTGTGGCAAATACTGAACTTCTGTGATAAGCAGGGAGGCTTCCAAGGAAGCACGCTTTCCCTGCAGTGCTTTGGAGAAGGTGGTAAACCAGGCTGACCCGATGACAGAAAAGCAGAAACGGTACCTCAGTGCTTGGGGTTTGTGGGCTGGTTCGTCCACCACCACACAGTAAAAGCTAAGGTGTCACCGGAGGAGGAGCGCTGTATTTGGAGCAGCAACGACATGTAATCCTGTTGGAAAGCAGCAGGAGTCTGACTCACTTCAATGCAGAGACATCATCCTGTTCCTAGTCTCGCGCGCTGTATCCTGGCCCCCATCCCCTGTGGATGTAGGTGACTCAGCGCCGGAGAAGATGAAGTCTTGTCTTGGTTTTGATACGTTTAAATCCTGTTAAATGTACTCAAAGAGGTAATCGGCACTAATTGGGATTTTCGTGCATCTTTCTAGATTGCAGAAGAAGCCTACAGGAACAACACTGCCTCCACCTACCCTCGGCCCAAGGACCTAGAAGCCTTCATCCGCTCTCAGGTTTACAGCACCGATTATAACAGCTTCGTGGCTGACGCCTATAGCTGGCCTGAAGAAGCCATGAAAGTGAAACTGTAAATATTTAATGAAGAACGAACAAACTAGCAGCAGTTAAAAAGCACTAAAATATTCAGAACGTTTTTGCCTAGGAAGCCTAAGAATAGGTAATTTTTTAAGATGCAGAAAACTTTTTCTAAACTGTAATATGTGGTTGGAAACTCAGATAAGAAATCAGACGATTTATCCATCAGAAAATAAAAATTAATCTGAGCGAGGTGTTTGTGGAGTTTGGTTATTTTGATTGTTATTTTACTTGGGGTAGCCTGCCCTGTAGTTCTACAGATGTTTTTGTTATCGAAATAAGGGGTTGTGCCTTGAGTTGAGGGTTTTGTCACAAACGCCTGTGAAAAGTTAAGCAGACAAGTGGTACCGTGGAACATCAAGCGATGCATACAGTGGCTGTTTAATCCGTTACAGGTCACAGTGTGATCCGCATAAACCGTCAAGCTCGTATTTAAAAAAAAGTAAATTGAAGAACAGCAAGTTTACAATATTTTTCCTTCAAAGTAAAGCTTGTGTGGAGTAATGAAAATGTGCTGACGAGACCTGAACCCGCAGAACCTTCTGTTCCTGTCTAATCAGAACAGTGTAGCGTTACTTAGCTAAGCTGAAGTCCTGGGAATGACTCAACGTTTCATTCCCCCAGGAAGAGAACTGCTGTTTCGATACGCCCTGTTTGGCCTGAAGTTTATGGAAGTGCTTGGACTCCGTGTTCTTGCCAATAAGGGAGTATCCAAATGCTATGAATAAGCTTCTTTTTGGCTAAGTATTTTCTTACAGATATCAGTTACCTGGCTAGTAGTAGGGTTTTATGTATTAAACCTGTAAGACTTGAGGACAGTGTGTTTTTAAACACACACCGTGTGTGATGAAGTATTATTCTTTGCAACAAACTGCCCAGTCACCCAGCTGAGGTCTACCAAATGAGTGATTATTAGGGGGGGAAAAAAGAGTATATCCTTAGGGAGGGAACAAACATATTTTGTTGATTCTTTGGTATTTACTGAGTATTTCTCTCACTTGCTACTATTTGAGTGATCTGGCTAGCTCAAATTCTTCAGTACGGTCTTTAAAATGATAATTCAGCACGCTCAATGTGTTCAGAAACACGCTGATTTCGGCTCAAGAGATCTTTTCCTTACCCTTTCCCATCTCTCACCAGTTGTCCAAAGCGACACCTGGCAGGGACCCTTACTCTCCTGCAAAAAAAAAAAAAAAAGTGGTTCCCTCTGCAAACTGCAGCAGGAGCATCCAGGGACACTGCTCATGACCTGCACTATTCCGGATTCATAATTCCAGAAATAAAAGTCATGAGCCTGTGGTTTTCCTTAGGAGGATACACGACTGGATTTTCCCGTCAGGGTTTTCCTCCTGTAGAAATACATGAGCAAATCCTGTGCTTGGAATAAAGCCTTAGACAGCTTTAACGCCGAATTGTTGGACCATCCTCCTGCACAGACTTTCTGAGCTGGGCCACTGGTCCCTTTCCTGTTTCCTTCTGGTTGAACTCTCATGGAGAAAGCCTATTTCTAAACTGGTTTGTTTTGCTACTTTCAAGGAAATGGTTTATCACTTGGCAGCTGCCCACCAAATGCAAATTGTTTCGCTGGTTTTGAGACGGGATCATGTCGAATCTGCACTGATACATCAGCGTTCTAAAAACATGGAATTATTAGTTGTTACAGCATTGCCAATCCAAGAAAAAAGTAGTGTACTTCCTGGCCAGTTCTGGAAACAAAGTGTACTTGAACATTTTTTTTCTGCCGTCAAGCTGCAGAGGGATCTCTGCAAAACCAAAAATGAATTCTGTTTGTCCAGCCCCTCAGCTCTGCCCCAGCTGCAGACTGCAGGCTTGGATTCACACAGAGGAGGGGTGCTTCCTCCCTCCTTGCGTACCGGGAACCTCTCAACGCGTTTTGCCTTGCTGTGCTTTAACCGTGATGTACGTGAGTCGTCGTTCTGAGCAACCAGAAACCCTGCCAACCCCTGTATTTCAATGTATTACTATTAGGAAAAAGCTACTAAAACAACTTCCTCGTGTTTTATCTGAAATAACATAGTATCTGTTATCTTTTCAGTTGTCAGCTCCGTGTGGGCGCAGCACTACGTCTGCTTAGTTGCTCAGTGCCAGTTTCCATCTTGGGGTGCTCAGGGAGAGAGCAGAAGGCGGTGAGCTGGTGGCTCTTTAAGGCGCAGCTACTGGGGACTTTTCAGTAGCACTCTTGGCTACATATGACACCGATGGCATTTAAATAGGATAATTTGTTATCAGTTGGAGGACCCAATTACAATCCACGATGTAAATACTCAGCACACTACGCCATAGGAAAGTGCTGCCTAATGAGCCATTAGTATCATTTCCTCTTGCAGGCTGCTGGAAAATTGTGTCTCAGTACTAATTTGACATAGAAAAGATTGGTAAAGTTATATGTATTTTTATTTCAGGTGGAATATATATATATATTTCATTTTTACGTATTTTATATCTATTTCCTTATGCAATGTAGGGGTAAAAAATAAGAAACACCAAACTTTGTCTCATCTTACACAATTTCATTACAAAGTACTTGGCCTAACAGTAAATAAAAAATTGAGCAGATCCTCCT